GGAACAAATTTTGCAGACACCCGTCTCATGTGCAAACCTTCGGTTAAAATTCGCTGGACCGTGCTCCACGAGATGTTCATTTCCTCAGAAAGTTGGTCAATGGTCTTTCGACGATCTTCATCAATTTCACGCACACTCTTTGTTCCTTCTGGTCGGCCATCTCACTAATCGCCAAAGGGTTGAAACAGGAACGCACACAACAGAGCACCACAGACAAACCACTTAACTCAGACTGACACCAGCTCACTAACAGTCGCGGGAGACCCCCAGCTAACACCACCTAGCAGCACAACTCGTAACTACAAAGCATGCGCGCGCAACAGGTCGTTTCTGGTTATTTTTGTGTCCCCCCTCGTACACTGATTATTAATACCAAAACTTAAAATTACTTTTTTTTTTTTGCCCTGAATACTGTAAGATAATCAGTAAAAATAGTCGTTAACTTAAATATAAGCTTTCGGTCAAATTTTCTGGCTTCCTCCACTTGAAAAAATCCTGGCAATGACTGTGCATGACAGCAACAATTAAGATTACTGTCCTCTGAAATATGACCCCACATAGTTTGGTACATCAGTATGGATGTTTCAGAGGAAAGTGGCTTCCTCCACTTGAAAAAATCCTGGCAATGACTGTGCATGACAGCAACTATTAACATTACTGTCTTCTGAAATATGACCCCACAGTTTGGTACATGAGTATGGACGTTTCAGAGGAATGTGCTGCCTCTATCTTCAGTGTCAAGTATTATCTTTCTCCTTTGAAGTTTGTGACAGAAGGTTCTCTGAAGTACTGATACCTATCTACCAAACTACACCACGTCACATCCCCTTCTCTTCACCTACATTTGCTGGATTATATGTAAGGTGGTGGGACTGACTATGGGGTGAGTAGAAGCTGTTCATTTGATGTCACCTTCAGAAGTGTGCAGTGGGAGGGCAATCACTTCCGCAAATGGAGAAGTCTGTGGCAAGCTTAGCATAGCTAACCAAGCTATGACAATTTGTAACAGGCAGCAAGTGATTCAAGCAGGCACAGCTACGTCATGGCACTTAGATTTATATTGACAAACTTACTGAAGAAGAGGGACAAGTATTCCTGTGTCCAGCACATAATCTCTGCATTCTGGAGAGTCACCTGCAATGTTGCCTAGAGCCCAAACTGCTTGTTCTTGCACATCTTCATATTCCGATGCCAGGAGCTGGATGAATATTGGAACAGCACCAGCTTCAATTACCATGCGAGTCTGCATCGAAGTACCTGATGCTATGTTGGTTAAAGCCCATGCTGCTTCAAACTGAAAGAATAGCAACAGTAACAGTCACTGAAAATACTGCTCCCTAACAAGGAGTATGAATTTAAAGGAAGGACATCTGAGGTGAACAGTATTATATATTAGCATCTAAAATGCTCAAATTATTCATGTAATATAACATCATTAATTTTAGCCATAAGGCTTACAGGCAGTTATTGTGGATTCTGAGAACTACTTATACTTGCAATTTTAGAAACCAATAATGAATCTGATAAATGGTTTTAGACCATAATATATGTCGTGTAGTGTGGCGAATGTCAAGTGACATTTCAGAGTAATACAAATTGCAACCTTCGCAGATGACACAGCCCTGCTAGCAGCAAATACAAGGTTCAGTAGTAACATCACAACATCTTCAACATCACTTAAACCTCCTCCAGCAATGGTACAGCAAATGGAAAATCAAAATAAACCAGAGAAAATTAGTGGAAGTTGCATTCACCATGAAATGTATAACTTGCCTGCAGGTTACCATCAATAATATGAAAATACCAGTCCAAACCAAAGTAAAATACTTGGGATTATACCTCAACCAAAACCTGACATGGCAGAAATGCATCAGAACAAAGCATTAGAAGTTAAACTTAAAACTATGAGAAAGGTCTGGGCTTTTGGACCATAAATGCAAACTATCCACAGAAAACAAACTTATACTATGTAAGTGCATAATAAAACACATATGGACATATGGTATACAGCTATGGGACTGTACAAAACCATCACACATGAAAATAATTCAAAGACTTCAATCCAAATTCTTGCACTCAGAAACTAAAGAACCTTGGTATGTCTCCAACTTTACTATCCACAATGATCTGCAAATCCCAATTATCATAGAATAAATACATAGATTGTCAACACTCTCCCATCAAAGCATACTCGGACACATTAACAGACTAGTTGCAGAAATCAGAAATCCAGCAAACATAAAGACTGAGGAGACAGTGGCCATCTGACCTACCACAACCCACAGATGATGAAGATTAAAACCATTACCAATCTTCTGCAGGGCCTGTCAGAGTATCATCAGTGGATGACTTCTCTACTCAAGACATTTACTTAGAACAAATTTACTTATTACTCCATATTACTGAGAGTAGATTGTAAATATGCTATTAATTAAATAAATAGATAAAATAAATCCATCTCTATCTATGAAGCATGTTGTTTTAATTCTTACCTGAAGTGTGCAGTTGGTATTGTTTTGAAGAAATTCTACAAAACGTGGGACAATTCCAGTCTGAATAACTTCATCTATAGGTGGATTTGGTTCACGGGATAAGAGTTTTCGAAATTTCTGTGTGGCAGTCAGCTGATCTTCCACACTACTGCTATAGAGTGCCTGTACCATGCCTGGTGTGATACTTGGTGCACTGATGAGAGACAAGATATCTTCCTAGAAATCAAAGCACAGAACACAGTTTTGGGTTTTCCTTATATATGAAGTCACATCACCTATGTAATCTAGTACTTAAGAAACCCATAAAATATCACAAATAGTAATGCTATTATTAAATTTATGGAGCACAGTCTACCCTGAGATGCTGACAGTAGCTCAGTCAAAACATAATATTGTCACATGTTGGGTATGTCACGCGGCAAATAACTTTACGCCGTATTGAATGTAGCAAATTTATGCCACATTCGTTTGTACACTTATACAATTCACAATTACAATTACTGCCATCGGCAGTATCACAATTACATCCACTGCTGGAGTCACTGCCATTCAACTCACTCTGGCAAATGCTAGACTGCAACTGACTTGCTTGGGCATTCCAAGTCCCTTATAAACCCTCAGTCAGATAGCGGAAAACCCACATCGCTTCACTGTTGCATAAACGCCATGTTTACAGGCGTTGCTGGGGAATGCTGCCAAGAGTTGTTTATTGCTGCATAGCAACCGTGATGTCTGCTGTTACGTCACGGTGGGAAGGGACTGTTTACTGAGCGCTGCATAATGATGGAAGGAGTGGGGATATGTGACGTCACTTGCGAGACCGTAGAGTTCATGTGACCCCTACTTCCTGTTGCGCCATTCATGTCACAATATTTTTTTTCAGATCAAGTTTAACATTAACCTATGATTTATACCAAGTTTTCCCTTCAGGACTCTTGACTAGAATTTTATATATATTTCTCATTTCTCCCATGCATACCACAGGTCTCAGTGTTCAATAATGTAGCACATTAGAGATGGGAGAAGAAGATGGAAACCAGAATAAATTTACCACAGGATGATACAACAAAGAAAGAGATTTCTTTCATTGGGTTTTCTGATTAAAATTGTGAATACATTTCTATTTACCCTGTGCATTCTCTCCTTTGATTTGATCATTTTAATATTTGGTAAATAACACAAATTACAAAACCCTTCACTGCGTTATTTTCTCCGTCCTCCTATTACTTCCTTTCTTTTAGATTCAAATATCCTTCTCAGTACGCTACTCTTAAACAGTCAATTATCTTCCCTCATGATAAGAGACACGTTTATAAAAAGAGGTGATGAAGTTATACTTTTAAAAAATCCATTGAAGTCCGGGGCCTTTATAATATTTTCTAAAACACCAGTTTCTTAAAGTGAAAAGTTGTAAACACCCAGTCCCAAACCTGGAACTAGAGAAATGCTCCCTGTCATCTCTCTGTGACTCCTTATTCAATATCTTCAGCTATCCTCCATATCTGGAGGCAGCCCCCAACCATCCACAACCTGAGGATCTCTTATGTTGTGGTAAGAAGGGACCCACTTAATATAGTTATAAGTTTAATATGAGTTAAACATAATCACAAATACCACTCACTGGCAGGATACTCTATGCTCTGTTAGGTTTATATACAGCAATTCATGTAACAAGTTAGATAGGGATTGGCAAATGAAAACTGTGTTAGGCTCAGTAATCAAAATCATAAGTATTTTCCCAAGCTGTGTCAGCCACTTCTGCATACAGTACAGTTACTGTTTTGCAAAATATGAGGACTAAGTCATGTGAAAAATTCTTAATATTCATATATATCATGAATGCATCAACTTCATAACAGCATGGATTTAATATCTACCTCCTGTGTTATATAATCCTTAAAAATTTTAACATATACATAAAAGCTGCAAGGAGACAATGTGTATTTTTAACTTTTATCTTACATGGTCAGAAAATCAGACATTTCACAACCTGATCAACCCCACTTACTAAGTATAAAACTATACAATTTTGAATCCTTTTACTAGCAGTATTATCTCATTATTCCTACCACTTCCACTTCTGTATTTGCTAGGAAGGTTTTGTAGCATGCATGTAGTAAAATGAACATTTCTGGCATTCAGCCATAAAAATCATTTTGTGCACCATTACAACTTTAACACATTCAATGCCAAAACTGACGTCAATTTACTTTGAGATCCTTCAATAATGAAAACATCAGCTTAAGTTGATTTAACCTTTCCTTATAATTTGAATAAAAATGTGACGGACAACATCATATATGAACAATGGTCATTTTGCAATATAATCTAGGTCCCTAGGCATTACCAACTGTCTGGTAATCTTTTTCCCTTTCATTTTTCCACTTCCTGTCCCTCTACTTATGACACAATTCAGCTAAGTTTATGCAGCAATAACAGAAAAGCTCACATGTGAGATATGGCAGTTGCATATTACCTCTGTATGAATTTCACAGTTGATTCCTGGTATACTGTATCATATTTGAATTTGTGGGTTCCACCAAAGCAGTGTCATGGTTACAGAAAGATCAGGAGCACTAACAGAAGAGGTAATTACAGGAATTGTGAATGACAGCAATTCTGATATAAATTTTATACCCAAAATCAAGGTCATCAGCACCACCATCAGAAGACAATGCAGAAGACATTTCATAATACGGATGACTTCAGTCTACCAGAATTTTCTAAAATCAATCATTATCTTACAACTTCACATTTTGAGACAGGTACGTGATGGAATGCCTGGAACATCTTACAACTCCTGACCTTGTGCAAATATTTGGTGACCAAACCATAAGAATTATGCTGCCATCTTTACCAGAATTACTATAACAGAACAACTTTAAAAAGTTTATTTATTTATTTATTATTTCCATGGATCCTCACATAGCTGGAACACCAGCGGATACAGAAATAGTAAATGAGAACAAGACAAATCACATCGATTACACAAATACAATCCATTACTTAATTACAATTCATAATCCATCACAATTAAAACTTTCTGATTGTGTCATTTAAACAAAAAATTTATTACTGTCAGGAAAGGTGGATGAAAGATATAACACCAACATAATTTGAAAATTTTTAATAAAAGTTGAAGTTTAAAAATTCATCGACCAAGTAAGAGTTCGCTTTGACATTAGTGTCATGTGCATAGAAATATCTGTTCATATTTTATCTTTTAACTGCAGAAGCTAAAAAGCTAGAACAAGACAAATATTATGTTTCTGGACATTATCCATCATCCTGTTTTTATCTAACATACTGTCCTGTATATATTTCAAAATACAATATTTCAGAGACTGGATTCTCTCTGTCTTCAGGTAAAACTTACTCACTTGGGCCCAATCAATAGAGCTAGCGCCTAGATAATTTTCTGAGATGGCAAGATGTAGTTTTCCTTGGTTTGTGAGAAAAGGGGCTAGTTATATATGGTATCAACTCTTCAGACAGCAGAAGCTGCAGAAGACCAAATGAACAACAGTAAAGCCTAAATGTGCCATGGATTATAATAACTATACATACAAAGGGGGACCCAAAAATAACCGGAGCCGACCTGTTGAGCGAGCATGCTTTGTAGTTACAAGTTGTGCTGCTAGGTGGTGTTAGCTGGGGGTCTCCCGCGACTGTTAGTGAGCTGGCGTCAGTCTGAGTTAAGTGGTTTGTCTGTGGTGCTCTGTTGTGTGCGTTCCTGTTTCAACCCTTTGGCGATTAGTGAGATGGCCGACCAGAA